GGCACTAATGATTCTTGTCCACTTAAAAAAAATAAATAAATCATTAAAATGTCACAATGTTCAGCTGAAATAATCAAGCCTTGTGAAAGAAAGCTTTAATGGTGAGAAAAATAGGTGGGATTTCTGAAATTCCATTTGCGTTTTTTTTGTTTGTGTGTTTTTTGGTTTTTTTTTCTTTTCCAGCTGAAAATTGACTGGCAGCTATCAGCAAATTGGGGACAGGGAAACTTTCAGAACTATTTGCCTTCTGAACTGCTATCGTTGTCCGCAGTCTTCTTGGAACCAGATTTCTGTTTGCTGACTGCATAGACATCTTGTTGGAAGCTTTTTGCTGAAAATATACAAGAAATAACATTTGAATTGCTTTTGGATTTCTTATAGGATTTTGTCTGATTTTTAAAGCTTCTCAGCTGGTTGTGCATTTCATTCCTTCTCATTTTTCCCTCTAAATATCTTCTTTGTATCTAGTACAAAGTGGAATGCAAAATAATTAAGCAAGTAATATGTGAGTCTCTGACTACAAAATAACACTCCCCCTAACATTCCTAGTAATTCCATTTTTAACTAAAGCTTTGACCCGTAGTAGAGACAGTAACAAATTTTTTAGTCTTCTTAGAGTTCTGGGTTTGCATTATAACTGAAAAACCTGTCCCAGTCTACTGAGATTTTTGTATACTTCATTGTGATACTATTCTCGTTTAATTCCCAATGACACCTTAGCTCTTGAATTGCTTACAGACACACCTCCCCCCCGCCCCCCATTGCTAGTTAAACTATTTATCAACACTACAAAAGGAGCACAAAATTCCCAGGCAAAACTTTTCAATGCTAGATTAGCGACATGAAACAAATAGTTTAAGGTATTTTGCCCTCCATTGACATTTGAAACCAGACTGCTGCCTTCCTACAGGGCTGCTTTCCGAGGCTCACAAACAGCTCTGCTGGGAAGACTCAGTTCAGTTTTCTAAACAGCTCTTTCATGGCATGCCACGTCACCCACACAAAAGAGTTAGGGGCTTTCCTCGCCTCTTCAGTCTTGCTATGCTTCCTTTTTTATCCCTACGTCTCCAGTCAGTGTGGCAATGTGTGGCCTGGAGGCTTGGCTTGTGACTCTTTGGATTTGCTCGATGCAATAAACTGATAGACAAATGCCCGGAAGGATTGTCAAGGTATGCTTGCTGCACCTAGAAATTAAGGAGTTTTTGTGGGCTTGAGAAGTGGAAACTCAAGTCCTGGCTTGAATTTTAGGTCCTTTGCTTCACGCTGTGTGTGTGTGTGTGTGTGTGTGTTTTGTAGCATTCCCCCAGGGAAATATCAAAATTGGAGTTGCTTTGGAATCAGAGCTACAGCCGTGTCCAGTTATTTGGCACAAGCTCTACTACTGGGGAAAAAATGGAGGTGCCCCCATATTGGGCATGTTCAGCCCTTGAAAAGCTGCAGTATCCTTATTCCCTGTGATGCTAGAGTATTTTGTTTGCTGGAGTAGTGGGGTGCAGCTGACAGAGGGGTTGTCCCCTGCATGACATGAAAGGTCCCAGCAGCGCAGCTGGTCCTGGTCACCAAAGCCCACTGATGGCAGCAGGCAACCGGTGTGGGGAGCTGACCCCTCGGCTTGTGGCTCAGCTCTTTGCAGGGTGTAGGATTGGGAGGACGCACGGGCTTGGCCGGCAAGGATTTCTCTTTGAAACAGCAGATAGGTAGTTCAGGGCTGATGGTGAGATTCAAAAGGAAACCATTTCATGGTGATGATCTCGGTTATGCTTTAAAATGTATGTTCAGGAGAAAATGTCTGTGAATTGGGGGAAAAAAAAAAAACCCTCACAACCAGAGAGAAACAATAAAAGGCTGTGCACAATGCTGGCTGCCAATAGAGGTTGAAGGTTTATTTTCAGAGCACCGTTTTTAGAAACATTGCTTCAAATAATTTCATCAGTCTAAAGAAAATTGCACCTTATACCTCTCTGTTCTGTTTTCAGAGTGGATTTTTATGGAAGAACAGGGCTGTTCTGAGCGTTGGATGGGTTAAGCCCTGCGCTTTCAGAAGAGCTCTCTGAAAAGACCCCGAGCATCGTGTGTTGTGGTTGCATAGTGATACCACGGTCCTTGCTCTGTGATGAATAATTGAAATGCAAGTGGCTGGTGGGCTACAAATAATCGGAATGGGTTTTATGAGTATACTGTATAACAGGGGACAGCAGACAGGAGTGGGCCTTTTCCAGCTTCGTGCCCTCCTCGGGACTGGGCTCAGGTGATGGAGAATTCTCATGAAATTTCCAGAACATAACAAATAATCCCCCAATACCAAATAAGTATTCCTTAGTGGAACTGATAATTGGAAGTAAGGCTTGAACTCCAAGGAGAAAAAGTGCTCCTGTTTCTTTTTGTTGTTGTTTCTTTTTAGTGGATAGCATTGAGAAGCGGTGTGCACCCCAATACTCCCTGGGAAGGCTACAAACAGCATGGTCCCTAGCAAGCTGCCAATGTTTAGGAAAAAGAGTTTTCTGCATCCAGCCTTCCTTAGTTCCCACCTTAGAAATTTCACCAGGAATTTCACATGGTCCTAAGCTTTGCATGCGTGTTATCCCTACACCGCAGAAGCAGCAAGCACCCTTGTCCCTGCGTGGGAGAGTGCTAATAGAGACGTCCAACGGGCAAGCATGCATTCTTCTGGCTAGCGGTCAAACGAAATTTGAAAGCCATTATAATGTCCAGTGTTTTTACTGACTAGCTGATGCAGACAGCTGGGAGCTGCCTCGGGATTGTCTGGGAGGTTACCAAGCTTTTGGTTTGATCTTGGAACCATCTTCCTTTTATAAATAAAGGGTAAGCATTAGTTAAGAATGATTACCTTAAAGTGCTAGATGTTTTAAGATGTCATGTGTTTCTTCATTAAGTGGCCTTTGAAAATTAAAATAAAGGTCATCAGCTGAACCCAGTTCTGTGGTTAATGCTTTTTCCTGATTTGATTTGATCTAGTTACTTCAGGCATTTGTGCTTTTATTGGGGGGCAGCCTATGGAACGCACGCCAGGGGAAAACAGCCCTGCATAGCACACCCGCCTACTCGTGGCTCTGCATGCAAGCGGCGCCATGAAAATCATCTTGGTTTGGACGGCGCGGTGACCAGAGGAGGTCCTGCCCGCAGGTTCTCCATAGCTCTGCACCAGCTGCCTGTGGCACCCGCTGGAGGGGCGATCGTTTCCCCGAAAGGCCGGGCACGTGGTGTGGTGAGGAGAGGAGCGAGGGGGTGGCCGCTGCCACACGTGTCGGCACTTGGAGGGAGAAGCAGGGATGCACTCAGAAAACAGGCAAAAGCACCACCAGTATGCAGTCAAAAGCTACAATCACTTTGGTTTTTACCTATGTGCGTTTAAGCCAGATAAGCTTTTTTTATGCCTTCTTTTATCTCGGTGCAAATTATTACAGGTGAGTTATAACTGAAAATATGAGGCTTTAAAAACACTGAAGTTTTACAGCTGCAGGGTGTTGATACTCCAGGATCTCCTCTTTCTCACATAAATTTGAAAGCGCGGTAGAGCTTTGAGCTCAGTGCCTGCTTTTCAAATGATAAAATGTTTTAACTGCTATCTTTTTTTTTTTTCCCCCCCTTCCATCCTAGTTCCTAATTAAGCAGTAACTGTAAGAGCAGTAACTGCGGCAATCATTTCTCTTTGCACTGATCTAATCTGAAGCCACGAGCAGCTGCAATAGTTACGCTAGGAAGGATTTTTCCCCTTTGGCATATATTGCCCAGGCTGTCCCTCGGTTAGGTTACAAGTGCTTGAAGGCTATTGATTTTCCCTCTGCTTTATGAGAATGCTCCTCTTTTTAACAGTTTAATTTCTCAGGTCTGGATTGGAACGATCAGGTCAGGGAACAAAAGTCTTTATGCATCCGATTACCTGTTTCTCTGGTCAGGGAAAGCTCTACGATAACATAAAAACCCCCTTTCTGATCCCTGAGCCGCTGGGGATCCTGTGCTCCGGGGTCTCATCCTCCTCCTGCCAGATGGCACAGGCGAGGTGGCCGTGGACGTTAATAGCATTTCTTAAGGGGAAGTGTTGTTGCGGCGTTGCTTGCTGACATGCCAGGAACACGCCGCATGTATGAAAATTACTGTACTGTGGAAATCACCCGGGGTTCTCATTAGGTCGATTTGGGTGTGTTGCTAGGCAGCTCGGGGTAATGAGGGGGTTGTATGTATTCTTTAGGTAGGTACAGGACCCTATAGAGATTTCCAGGTAAGTAACATAGAGGCGAGAGAGGCTGACTGGCTGCGACACAAGAAGTTAAGCCCCGCAAACTTAACTTTCATTAAGAGGAGTTTTTCGAGAAAGAAATTGGATTAGACCCAGGGATGACGTATCCTGTTTGATTTCTTTTCCCCTTGCGCTCTGATGAGCTTTGTGTTTAGGCAGGCTTTTGTTTCTGGCTCCGAGTTGCTTTACAAAAAAATTTGGGAGCGTGTCTCGGGGTGTCGAGGGTGATGTGCTTAGCTTGATTGGCTGGGTTTGCTCGCGAGCGCTTTGTTCTTCCCACCGCCCTCAGGTCAGTTGTGCAACATGCCCCTACCGTTTAAAAAGAGGAGGGAAAAAAAAAAAAAAAAAAAAAATGCTGAGTAATGCCAGAGGTTTCTCAAATGGCTGATGCAAACCTGGAGAATTTGCATCATCATTCAGCTGTAGTAACTTGGTATGACAAGAGCTTAAATACAAGTCCACGCGGAAGCTGAGCTGGTTTCCAATGATAGGGCAGTACCAGCTCGCAGCGTGAAAGCGCAGGTGTTCCTCAGCAGAGCTTGGATCGCAGTAAAGGCTCAAAACCACTTTAGGAGCTTGCTACCTGCGTGTAGGAGCAGCTGGAAAGATAAGAGAGGGCAGAGGAAGAGACTAAGTAGCTGGCTACACAGAGAAGGGGAAAAAAAAAAACCAAACCACCTTGAGTTTCTGCTGCAAACTTTTCTGCCTGCGCTTGCTGTCAGTGTGCTGGTGGCACTGTAGCATGTTTAGGAAAGCTGCTGTAACCACGGTCTCTAATGGAAACTACTTGCAGGGGCAAGCTAATGGCAGGTTGCCCTCTATGGACAGCGGAGAGCCAGCCCGGGAGGGAAAAGTCGTGCTGAAGAAGAAAGTGACACTTTTGAGGGGGATATCCATCATAATTGGCACGATCATCGGAGCTGGCATCTTCATCTCTCCCAAAGGCATCCTGAAGAACACGGGCAGCGTGGGCATGTCCTTGACTGTCTGGACAGTGTGTGGTATCCTCTCGCTCTTCGGTAAGTCCCTTAAAAGTCTCTAATTGGTCCAGAGGGGCGGCCGGTGGATTATCGCTGTTATTTGCCTGATTTTGCCATTGGATAGCAAGGCACGGAGCGGAGCTCGAGGGCCAATAGGGCTACAGGAGGGGATTGCTGCATGATAGGTTGTGCGGAGGGCGCAGAGGTACGCAGCCCCTCTCCCCCCGGCGCCTGGTCCGTAACGATCGGAAGCGTAAATTAATGTTTCTTATGGGTTCCTGAAGGAACAGGAAAAGTAAACGTCCGTTTTATGCCACACAATGTGCTGTAGGTATAAGGTTTTTCTTCTGGCTGTAAGAAGTAGTTTACAGCTTGCCTGTAAGGCTCCCGGCAGCTGGGGATGCGGGTCACTCTGCTCGAACACCAGCGAAATGTTTAGACGGCTAAACTTAGTTCCCTAGAGCAAGGTCGGAGAGGAATAATTCCAGCTGGACGTAAGCTATATTGGCATGAAAGCTAGCAAAATAATAACACTAATAACCCCCCTCCTCAGCCGTGTATTATTGCTCTTCGTTCCTCGCTCGCGATGTCGCTTTGAGAGATTGTGCTGCAAAAAACAGTGTGATGGAAAACAAATTTGTAATGCGAGTTTTATTGCTGGCCTGCCTATTGTGATGGTTTTTACTAATTTTTGAAGAGTGGTCAATTCTGAAGAACGCCGATTTATTTGTTGTGGACACAAAGCCCCTGTTCAGAGGGGAAAACCCCACCCTGGCCTCGGCGGGACAGAGGGTCCATTGACCTACTTAATGAGTTAATCTCCAAGAAGCTGAAGAGCTAACATGAATATTGGCTTTATTTAAAACAGAAACGACTTGTTTTCTGGCAGGAGGTAAAGAGGACAAACACAGACTAACACGTGTCTGCTTAGTGGGTGGAACATGCAAATGCCACCCTGTGTAAACTGGCTCTGAGCTTAAAAGAAACATGGCCTGTTTACAGGCTAAGCCCACCCAAGCCAAACAGGCAGTGCAAGCAGGTTAGGACCCATTCTGGTCAGATGTTAAATGTATCGGTACAATGTGCAGCATAATTTATTGTACAAATGTGGAAGTCCTGCCTGTAACCAAAATTCCTGTCGGCTGCAATTTGTAACCTCGTCAGAAGACCTTGGTCTTTAGATTTAGTCAAAACAGAATTTGCTTAAGCATTGCATTTTTGGCTTTAATAGTAGTAATCTTCTGGCTGTGAAATAAAGTCTGTACAAAAAGGAAAAAACCCCTCTTTTATCAGGTGGATTTTCTAGGTCATTCTCCAGATCTGAAGAACTGTGTAATTTGGCCAAGCAAGAGATACTATCTCTTTCTCTGAATGGACCCGTTACAGTTATTTTTTCCTATTTTTTATGCCAAGGGTTTTTTTTAATTCCCCGCATGACTTAATTATAGTAAAATCCCATGCAAAGATCACTTCAGGTGTTGCTGAGACTGGGTGTATAACGTATCGAATCACAATTTCGTTGCGTCTTGAACCTCAACAGAAGGGGCTGGCGAGAGAAAACATATCAATAGCTTTTTTTTTTTTTTTTTTTTTTTAATGTGGCTATAAGAATCCCTTTAAGTACGTTTTCAGGTAAGCTAAAGAATGGCAGAGAAAACCTGCCACATTTTTGCATAAACCCCAAACAAAGCAAATGACCAAGGATGGAATTTGTCATAACGTGGTACAGCTTTAATGGGCTTGTACACGTTATGTGGTTTTGACAACTGTAGTTTTCATCTTAAACGAGTTCATATACGTTGCTGATCTCAACTCTATGTGATGTGGTGTTTACAAACTTTATTACTGTTTTCATCTGGCTTCTCAGACTCTCCTAAAAGGGCTGCCTACATTTATCGGATGGGGTGCACTTCTTTACGGATGCAGTCCACCCATGGAGCTGAGAATCCACTGGCTTTGTGACTGGGTGATGGCTCATTAAGCAACAGTAGCAGGTGGCACCCGGGTGAAGAAGGCTTCGTGCAGGTCCTCGTAGTTGCGGCGTGCTGTTGCCTGCTCTGCAATGGCAGAGGTCCCGGGTTGCGCCGGCAGCAGCCTCGGGGAGCTCACTGAGAGCTTGCTGGGAATGCCGCTAGCACTTGCTCCAAAGGGGCCTGAAACACTTCAGCATGAATGAATGCAGCAACACGATGAGGAGCTGGGTTTTATTTTAGTCAGTGTAAATGAATGAAAGGAGGAAATGAGACTCCTTCTCCGAAAACGTGAAGTGGTCTATATCTAGGGCAATGCAGAAATGAACGGCGCTTTCGTTGCACTAGCAGTATGCAACAACACTGCACCAGTGTTGAAAAGCCAGGGCTAAGCCCTGAATTTTGTATATAAGGTGCTGAGAGTACTATTGAGGAAAATTTTTAATCTGCATTTCCAGCTTCCATATTTTGGCTGGCCGATCACTTTGCCTGTGGTTGGGGAGGGGGAGTACAGTTTTCAGGCTTTTCTTCAGAGGCTGAGCAGGGCGTCTCTGAGGCTGAAAGGGGGTGATCAGCACTGGGTAACGAGAAAATCTGTGGGAAGGCTTTCACTTGGCGGGGCGGTCAGGCTGGCTGGGGGGGCTGGGGGGGGTGGCATGACACAGTGGTTGGTTTGTCCTTCTTCACGAGATATGGATGAGTAATGAAACATGTTGATAGCAAATAGTCTGCTTAGCGCCTTACATGTGAATGTAACTGGGTATACGTACAGTTTGGTTAATTCCAGGTCTAGCTGAATGAACTAAAACTTACACGATTGCTTGATAAAAAAAGATTAAAATATATCAAAAGTAGCTGTGATACCGTGGCAGCTCCCTTGTTGAGCTTATAAATGCTTTGAAAGGTATTTTTGGATCTCTCTTGTGATGCCACAGTTTAATTCTCACAGGTGCCCTCTGCTATGCTGAACTAGGAACATGCATTAAGAAATCCGGTGGTCACTACACCTATATCCTGGAGGCCTTTGGCCCGTTACCTGCTTTTGTGAGAGTCTGGGTTGAATTACTCGTCATTCGGTAAGTATATCGTGGCTTTTCTGTGTTTCTGATAGCAATATGCTTTTCCGTTGTAAAGACTGAATATGTGATGTGCAAAGCAAATCAAATATATCTTGATCAATGCGCTGTGGTTTTTTTAGTGTGGTTGCTTCAGAGAATTTAACAATGCTCTTTTGCTCTCAGCATTGAAACATCCAAAAAGACACATGTGCATGTATGGGGGGGAGGAAATACAGGTTCTAAAAAAACCTGCCTGCCACACAAATTCAGCTACTTGCTTTAATTTTACTAAGCTTAGTGTATCCATTACTGTCCCTAATAATGCTAATACCCATGCCTATATAGAGTACAGTGGAAGAGGGAAGTCGCTTTTACATTTTTCTCAGTCTTGATACAAGTTTTTGGAGTGGTTGCTGTTGTCTGTGGATACAGGAATAACTCTTGGTGAAGATACTGCCCTGTAGTTTTCAGGTTGGGGGGCACCATGCGTTCTTTATACGTCAGTTCAGGTCCCCATTTTTTATTTTTGTGGGGTGCTGGAGAACTTAACTCTTGATTACTATGAAAAGCACTAACGGATCAAATAAAGCAACATTAAGTCCTTCCATATCTAAAATGTCCGAAGTATTGTTTTGGTGTGTAAGCCTGTGGCTCGTGCCGCCCTTGACGTTGTATAGGTGAATTTACAATATGAAGGTGCCAAATCATTGAAACGTATCACATACATTTTCATAATGTAAATGGATCTTTATATCAAACTCAAATGTGGCCCTATTGAATTTTAATTTTTTTTTTCTTTTTAACAGTATTGCTGAGGCTAGGGAGCTTGTTACATGTAGAACAGGGGAACTCACTTATGCAAAATGATTTGGGGAATGCTCCATTCCTGCCTCAGGCTAGTTAGCGCTCCTTTCCCTCCTCTTCCGCAATCAGCAAATTAGTCAGAAAAGCACAAGCTTTGTGTCAAATCACAACTATGTTTACATAATATTGACAAGTTCTAGCATAGACTGTTGAGTTTAAAAGCACTGACAGTGCTGAGTCATTATGAATCCATAAACCCTTATCTTGCTTCCGGACGAAATCATTGTGTGTATGAGATGGTCCCTTTACATCCTCCCTACCATACGTAACCTTTGAATTAACTGCATCGTTTCCATCCAGCGTGGTGAAAGAGCAGATGTCTTAACCGTATGAACTTTTTGCTGAAACGGAAAAGCAGACAGAGGAAAGAGGGTCTGTGTTTTTGTGGTGAGAAACATGTGTTGTGAATGCAGCAATATCATTGCACATCCCAGAATCAACAGAAGACAGTGTTAGACATCCCCTTCTTAACCTGCACCTTACTAGGCAGGGGGGCCTTATTAACCGAGGCACAAATACCCACAAGAAACCAGGCTTCTTAAATTCCTCTCCTCGCAAAATTATTATGTTTTTACATATGACAGTGTCCCAGGAGTGTCACGAAAACACTCTTACTCATCGTGATCTGCTCCACACCCAGAAAACAATCATCTTGCATGGGAAGGAACATCAGTGGAGTCTTTAATCATCAAATCTGAGAGGCAGCGAGGGAGCCGTACTTGTTATAACTTGCGATGATCAGAGCAGCACTGCCAAAACTCTGTGTAGACTTTTATATCTGACTCCTGTATCGGTAAACTAATTGGATGCTGCTATCAAAGAAGTTGAGACCTAATATGTACCTAGGTTTTTTTCTTCGGTAGGTGAAGTTGCACACACACAGTTCTCAGCTAAGCTGTTTCTTCCTCTGAAAGGTGGCCAGGATTATCACACCCACAGGCTGGTGTAGCAGCTGCAACCAAAATAAACATTTCCGTTTCTCGTGTATCTTTTCAGACACTATTTTACAGTCTAGGACACACTTAAACTCTGCCCACATACTGATTAAATGGTGCCAGCATCACCTGCTGTTTAGAAGTGCTTTACAGTGCATTGCCCCTCAGCCAGTAGAAGTAGCAACTTTTTTCCTCCCCCAAAATCAGGTTGCGGGTATACTACATACCTTTGGAAAAAAAAAAACAAACCCAAAACCTAAACCCCAAACCAACAAAAGTTTTCAAACAAGTGAAGACGGATGTGTGAATGCATTGTCTGTAGTGTTTAACGATGGTGGTTGCTAAACACAGGTAGGGTGAGAGCGTGCTGCCAGGGAAGTGATTCACTCACCCGTGGTGCGTGCTGGGGCACCAGACCCTCCTCCTTTCCCGGTGGCTTTTTGCTCTCCTTGCCCTTCCATGAAAGCTGCTGATCCGCTGCTTTCTGTCCTCTCCTCATCAGGCAGCTATCGGGGGGCTGCCAGTCTGTCCTTAGGATTGCAGTCAAAAGGAAGATGCCCCATTCCTTCAACCTCCCCCTCCATTGATTGACAACGTTGCCAGTAGCATCCTCCCCCAGATGTGGGTCTAGGAGAGAGACAGCTAGTTATCAGAGGTATAATTTAGCAGCTATGTTTTTTAAAACATAGTGGTGTGGATAGCAGTGACTGCCTCTTTAAAAAGGCCTTTCTTAAAACGGGAGGGAAAAATCTAAGTTCTGGAAAAAGGAGCTGGGACCAAGGAAAAAAGTCTGGGAAAGCTCCAAAGATCTTACCTTTCATCTGACCTAGGACACTTCAATCTACTTTTGGCAGGCTGCAGTATTTAAAAGCCAGAAGCTTGGTGATCTTCTCGCCTAAATTAGAAATATTGTGCCGAGGTGAGGTCAGTAAATGTATGCATAAATCCAGCGCAGAGGATATTCTGTCCCTGCGCGAAGGCAAAATTTGCAAGGCCAATTGTTGGCCAGTGAAAGGAAGAGTCCTCATGCGTGGGGGACGTGCGAGCTGTCGCCCTCACTTGCCCACGCAGAAACTTTCTGAGGGAAGGTACTTCTGTTCCAAGCCCCTCTGCGGTCTGGTCCGACACAACATGTGACATTGTGGTTGAGTCATGAGGCAAAGAAAGTGGGTTTTGTTCTCAGGGCGAAAGTCTCTTGCAGAAAATTCCTTTATTGTTCGATGGAGAATAAAAACTTCTCTGCAGAACTTTTACACTGTTCCATAACGTTTTTAAGCAACTATATTTTTATTCAAATTCTGTAAGGTGAGGCATTGTTTTATTAAATGCTGTAGATTTTTTTTTTTCCCCACAATAAATTTGCATGGAGGCTTATTTAACTCAAAAATCCTTGGAGGCAGAATTGAGTGTGGTGAAGCACAGGTGCCACCAGCTCTCCTAAGAAGGGGGAAAGTGTCCTTGCAAACCAAACGTGAACAGCCCACTGGAACTGGAACATGCAGAGACAGTGTCTGATCTGAGGCCAGGGTAATTTGCTGTTAATATGTGTCAGTGCTAAGTCTGGTAAATATTTAGCTTGTCTCAAGGAGAAAGGCTGTAGGAATATCACGAATATTTCAGATTTGTAAATGCAGCAACTGCATGCCTGCCTTTCTCCACATTTCTCTGTTTCATGGTAGGTGCTTTCTGTACTTCCAGGATTTTTTGCTCTCACTGGCAGTGCTAGGAAGTCGTTAGTCAATAAAAGGAACAAGCTGTTTGCATTTTAGGAAGTCCCATTTTCATTCATTTTTTTGCATTGTCTCAGATTTTAACAATGGCCTCGGGTTGATTTTGAATACTCAGTAAAGCAGAATTCTTAGCTTGGTTGAAATTAATTTGCTTGTGCCTCTGAGGGGTGAGAGATACCTGGCCGCTAAAATTCAGTCCTCAACAACTTTTGCTTGGGGTTTTGCCCATGTAATCTAATTCTGGCCATGTTCACTTCAAGCAAGCGAATGGAGATTTCTATTGCTGCCTTTCCTTTCTGTTTACGGCTGCTTCACAACATGGAAGTCGTAAGAGCAATCCTGGTAAGAATCGTTGCTCTGAAGATCAGAACTGCTGAGCACAGCTAAGCTGCTCGTGCTTTCCAGCTACGGTCAGAAATCATGGTATGTGGCAGCACAGTTACAAGCCGGCACCAAAATTAAGTATGGTTCACAGTTCTGTGATAGTAAAAGTTACAGCATGATCCCGTAAGAATATTGTCTATGTACTTCTGCAGATTAATTTTGTGATTTTTGTTGCTGTTTTTACTCTAGCCCTGCTGCCACAGCAGTGATATCGCTGGCATTTGGACGTTACATTTTGGAACCTTTCTTTATGCAGTGTGAAATCCCAGAACTTGCGATTAAACTTATTACAGCTGTTGGCATCAGTAAGTATCCAATTTTAGGTTTCAAGGAAGGGTAAAAACGATGTAAATTGAAGACAAAATAAGCAATTGCACACTGAACAGGTAGTTGTTTGATGTGAATCATTACGAAATGACTGTGTGTCTGATGTCAAGGGCATCAGCGTGACTTTTTGCCTGGGTATGTGTGTTTGTGAGCATACGCCGTAGTAAAAAGAATAGCAGACTTTATTAATGGCAGGGAAAATCTATTGCCAAGGCTGATTCTGTTGCCACTTGAATTAATGGCAGAACTCTCATTACTTTTGTGGAAGCAATTTCAGTCCCTAAGAGATGGTGAACCACTGCCAGAGATATGGAAGAATGATTACCTGATTTTAAGTGCTTTGCTCTACCTCTGTTTTAGGAGGCAATCGAGTGCCAAGTATGATGCCATGAAGAAATGTAGTTCTCTTGAGTGGAGCACAGGCAACATGAGATCATCTTCCCTAGTCTCCCACTCTGTCCTTCAGAGCAATAAAATTTATCGAGGCTCTTGTGGTTCAGGAAGCAGGAACCCAACGGATGACTTTGGGAGCAGGGCGTACAGCTTGGTGAAGAAGCATCTCTGTTACCAGCAGTTTGTCTAACTCTTGCAACTTTGCAATTAATGTAAAAGGGACTGTTTAGGGCTACAGAGAACCAATAGAAATGGAAGGAGGGAGGCTGCCCTGAGACCAGGAGCTTGACAGCGTACCTGGGCTGGTGCAGGAGGCTGCCTGGAACGGAGAGGCACAAAGCGTGATGCGAAGGGGACGCTGGAGCCGTGTGCCTCTGGTGCTGGAGGCTCCTTTCCAGTTCTGTCCGGCCGCTGGTGATGATGCTCCTGGCACATGTGCGCCCGCATCCGCATTCAGCTGCGCTGGGAGGAGAGCGCAGCGTAGACCTGAGTAATTAGTAACAGATTGTTCCTTTCAGTTTGGTCAGTGCACATGTCAGAAACAAAAGGACCGGAAAAAGGAATTAAGATGTGCAAAATGATCAAAGGCACACAGGAGACCCCTTCAGTTTTGCACAACAATAGGTTCAGCTGCCTTTCTCTTTCTTCGGGGTGGGGAGTTCAATTGACACTGAAGTTTCCAGTCCCCAGGTTACTGTGGCTTTTTATAGGAGCTCTCTTGCTAAGAATTCCCTTCTGCCAGGAATGTTAAAAAAAATCACTGTGTGACCGCATTTCTTTCTAACTTAATTATGCACAAACTATAGGTTTCACAGGAATAATTGAATTAAGGGCTTGAATTTTGAGGTCAATGACTTCTTATAGCTACATCTGTCTAAAATATTTCAGTGCAAGATAAGGGTGAAACAGATGTTCAGTAACTTCAAGGTCACAGAGACAGAAGGAATGTTAAGTGAGGGCTCCATCAAAGCATTTTGTTAAGTGCATGCGATTCAAGCACAATACGAGAACAATTTGAAATAGGTTTTTATTGCTTTTAATTTAATTGAAAATCTGTGTGATAAGCCAGGACTTTGCAAAGTAATTAAACAAAGAAGCAGCGTTGCAGGGGGGGTGGAGTTATGCTAAAATAATTACAGCCTAAAGGGAGAGAGGGGTTCACAGCAGGCTGCTCCTATGGTAAGCGCGGGTCTGTGCAGCGCAGGTAGGATGAGCTGTCGTTTCGCCGAAAAGAAGGGATTCTTGTAGAAAGTTTGTAACGGTGAATGGGACAATGCTGAGGAAAACAGTGGTGTGTCAGACTGAGGCTTTATCTTCGTTCTTTGCAGGATGCTCTACAGCAGAGTTTCATTTGTAGTAGTTTTTGATCATGTGCTACACTTGACAGCTGGCTGAGTCTGAGCCAGCAGTGTGCACAGGTGGCCAAGGCGGCCAACAGCATCCTGGCTTGTATCAGGAATAGTGTGGCCAGCAGGACCGGGGGAGTCATCCTCCCCCTGTACTGGGCACTGGTGAGGCCGCACCTCGAATCCTGTGTTCAGTTTTGGGCCTCTCACTACAAGAAGGACATTGAGGGGCTGGAGCATGTCCAGAGGAGAGCAAGGAAGCTGGTGAGGGATCTGGAGCACAAGGCTGATGGGGAGCGGCTGAGGGAGCTGGGGGTGTTCAGCCTGGAGAAGAGGAGGCTGAGGATGAGGAGAAATGGCCTCAAGTCGCACCAGGGGAGGTTTTGGTTGGAAAAATTTATTCATGGAAAGGGCTGTCAAGCAGTGGATTGGGCTGCCCAGGGAAGTGGTGGAGTCCCCATCCCTGGAGGTATTTAAAAGCTGGGCAGACGAGGTGCTTAGGGCCATGGTTTAGCAGTGGGATGGCAGGGTTAGGTTAACAGTTGGACTTGATGATCTTAAAGGTCTTTTCCAACATAAATGATTTTGTGGTTCAGTGATTAAACTCAGGGATCCCAGTGCGGATGACTGTTACTCTTGTATGGTAAGAATTAGCTGTTGTAGTCGTAGTTTTATGAATGCTGTGTATTCTACACATAGGCAGAGTGATAGGTAAGATTAAGGTGGCCTTGAGCTGAACAGACACATTGGAGCCCTGGTGATCTTATAATCCACCTTAATAGTGCCAAAGATAGCATTTGCTGCCACTGAAAATTTTAAGTTAATCAGAAAGTGAACGGATGTGCCTTTTGTCGCCTTGTCCGCTGCTGGTCCCTCCTCCCCTCTGTGCCTGATGACAGAGCGCTCCCTGAGTATCTGTCTGCATTGCACGGGGTGGGGGGAAACATAGTGGGAAGCACCGTTAAATGCTGTCCTTGGGCGAGACTTTGTTCTGTAGTTGTTAGTTGTACATTGCCATTTCTGGCCATACTAGAAAGGGAAGGAAGAGATTTTGAAATATCTCCAGGTGATCCCCTGCCTCCAAACACAATCAGCGTATCTAAACAATTTCTGACAGATGTTCATCTAAACTGGTCTTAAAGCTTCCAATGAGGGAGTTTCTAAAGCCTCAC